GCCCTCATCCAGGTCATTTATAAAAATGACAAACAGCAGTGGCCCCAAAACAGATCCTTGAGGTACACCACTAGTAACTGAACTCCAGGATGAACATTTCCCATCAACCACCACCCTCTGTCTTCTTACAGCTAGCCAATTTCTGATCCAAACAGCTAAATCACCCTCAATCCCATGCCTCCGTATTTTCTGCAATAGCCTACCATGGGGAACCTTATCAAACGCTTTACTGAAATCCAAATACACCACATCAACCGCTTTACCCTCATCCACCTGTTTGGTCACCTTCTCAAAGAACTCAATAAGGTTTGTGAGGCACGACCTACCCTTCACAAAACCGTGTTGACTATCCCTAATCAAATTATTCCTTTCTAGATGGTTATAAATCCTATCTCTTATAATCCTTTCCAACACTTTACCCACAACCGAAGTAAGGCTCACTGGTCTATAAATTTGGGGAGCAGTCCCTAATTAAATACAAAGTTAGCTCTTCAGTTAGCTTTGTTGTGTAAATGCTGCAAACGAACATTAATTGCAAGTCACCAGACTGTTTCTAAAATTCGTTATAGAACTACTGGGCTACTGTCAACTATGCCACTAAATTTTGTTTTGAGAGTGCACAGAACGGTACTGAGGTCCATGGTCTCATTAATATGTTTTTAAAGAGGGGGGAGGCCTCTATAGTGCCATTAGAATCAGCTTTTAGCCACCCAATATCACTCGGTCATCTGAATAAAGGTCAGAATTCTGGGGTAACACAGTGTGGAGATGGAGGAACACAGCAGGCCAGGCAGCGTCAGAGCAGCAGGAAAGTTGATGTTTCAGGTTGGGACCTCTCTTTAGTAATTTTTTTGATTCATCCATTGGGTCTTGTTGGCTGACCAGCATTTATTACCCATCCCCAACTGCCTCAGAGACAGACACTGGAAATGCATGGGGTACATTATCAAACTTTATTCATACAGTTTCCCTCTTTCTGTTCAATGTAATGTGCAACCCACTCGTTCCGATTTTTATTTCTCACCTCCCTCTACTTTGTTCCCACCCACTGTCAACTGGTCCCTGTCGATTTCTAAGACGTCACTTGGTAAACATTCTGCTGCTTCTGAGCCAATCTAAACTTGGCAAGTCAATTTCCGACACTCCTCCCTACAGTTTCCAGCCCTGGGATGAATCACAGGCTCTCAGTGCCTCCAGCTGAGCCCAACCTGGCACAAATTCAAGCAGCTATGCACAGATCAGACCAACATCATCACCTGCATTATCCCCCCATGAAGACAGAGCACCTTCAGACAGAGACTAACCTCAACAGGTCAACACAACAGGGCAAGCTTTTTCTGTTTCTATTACAAGTTATATTTATCAACGTTCTTTGGAAATTAGTCAAGACATTCACTGCTGTGGATGGCAGACACTGGTCTGATTAGCTTCACCTTCCAACGATCAGTCTGTGAGGCAGTGTGTTTCAGATCCAATATCTAACCAACTGTGAAGCTAACTTTCTGCTACAATATGATGCAACGCTGCCTCTGTCTATTTCTATAATGCCTGACACTTAGGCCAAATACCAGCAATCTACGCCTTAGTTCTCCCACCTGAATCTGAGAAATGTGTTCAGGAGCCTGTGTCTTTTTAAACAACAGAATATTTCATTTCCAGACTGAAAACGCTGCCTCCTCTCCCGAGGTTGCTGCCCAGACAAGGAGGCAAACACTTCTATTTGCTCACGTCTGCTCAACTCCATAAAAATGTCCTGAGCAGCCACAGAGTACATTTAAGGATGGAGATGACAGAGTGCATCGGGCACAGTATCTTTACTGCAGCAATGCACCAGCCACACGAGAATAAGTTGGAGCAAATTACTGCAGATGCTGGAATCTGTACTGAAATTATAGCGGGTCAGGCCCCATCCATGGAGAGACAGCAAGCTAATGTTTCGAGTCGAGGTGACTCTGTCAGAATAAGTTGGTGACAGAATCAAGTGAATCCCATCATCGCCATGGATGCATCACTCATTCACTGAAATATGAAATAAAGCAACTATCAATTCGTGACAAACCTCATCTCAGCTGCCACTGGTTTGGTCAGTCTTTCGAACAAAACGGAAGAGACTTAGCTATATAGCACATTTCACAAACTCGGGGCATCTGAACACCAAACAGTAACTGAAGTAATTGGGAAGCTTTGTGCAATGTCAGAAACATGGCAACACATTTACACACAGCAACTTCACAGGGACAGTTCTGAAATCAGTCACCAGATAGCCTTGTCCGTGTTGGCCATAAAATTAACTACTGGTCAGAAAACCGACCTTCTCTACTTCAAATACTGACATGTGATCTTTGAAATAAAGAAAGGGCAGACTGGGAAACTTAATTTGAAAGGTGTCCCTCAGTACTTGATTGAGCTGGCAGCTCTGATGATTGGCTCACGTTGCTGGAGTGGGACCAGAGTATAGTGGACCCAGGTGATAGATGTGAGGGGCTGGTTCAGGCCACAAATGGGTAGATCGTTGGGCAGTATGCTCTCGAGTCTTATTGGTGAACCAATAAAGTTTGCAGAAACAAACCACAGAGAGCTGTGTTTGTATACCGGTGCTTGGGCACTTGGTTCACAGAACTGATCAGAGAGGGGTGGGGAGAGTCAGAGAGAGAGTGCGTCAGAGAGACAGGCAACGCGTCAGAGAGAGAGAGTCAGAGACAGAGATACAGAGTCAGACAAGGAGGGGGAGCGGGAGGGGGAGGGGGAGCGG